CTGCTCCTTGGGAGCCTGCTTCTCCCTCTGCCTCTCTCTCTCTCTCTCTCTCTGTCTCTCATGAATAAATAAATAAAATCTTTAAAATAAATAAATAAGTATCACTAAATATTAAATTACAGGATTTATGGGATGACAGTAATTTCCTCTGGCTGGATCCGCAAAATTAAAAGGAACATCTCCTGGAAACCGTTTGGTGCAACCTCCTCATTTTACAAATTTCAGAACTTGGCAAAGAAGTAAAAGAGACCAAAGGCTACAACGCTTATGAAACACTTGTTTTGAACTGCTTGTACCTACACACAGTATTAAGTGAAAAACAGGGTCATACAATGCAAAAAGAGAAAAGGTTTTACAGTTAAAGGTTCCCAAGACAAACCTAGACTCTAAAGCTTACTACGATGTTCTCAATTCCTCTAAGCTTTAGCTTTTACTTGTAACACAGAACTATCATTTCCAAAAAAAAAAAAAAAGAACTATCATTTCCTACCTTCAAGGGTTATTATGAAGATCACTGACATCAGACTACTAGAACTAATAGGGCAGATGCAAATAATAGCTACTGTTTGAAGTTAACTGCATATCATTTCTAAGTATTAGATATAAATGTATCAGAAGATAAACTTTCAATGGCTAGGTTAGCATGATTAATAAGCTCAAAAACCACTCACCTTGTGCATCCATATCCTTCCTTTCCTGATAATGTGTGTTAATCTATCAACACACACTCTGTGAAGTGGGAGGTAGAAGCTAAGTTCTGTCTGTGGAAGTATAATTGATAGGCCATACGTGCTCCTATCTCCATTCCAGTTTCCATCAAAGATTAATGAAACAATAATTACTCCTTTTTCAGACAAGACAAAAAACTTCACATCTATAGCCCCACTCTCTGCATTTCGGAGAATTTCTCCATTTAAGGTGTGGTTGGCAAGAAAAGTTATTTCTCCATCACTGAGTAGTAGCTGTTCTGTCTTTGGAGCCCAAATGTGTCTGACTCTAGGACCAAGAATATTGTCCCAGTAAGCAAAGGTAGCTGCTAATAAAGGCGATTCACCACTTAGAGCAATCTCTGTCTTGGCAACAGCCGGAGATGGCGGTGGACAGAGATTCGACATCACTGCATCCCAACTACCACATTATCCAAATGCTCCAGGGATATCTAAACAATAACATACAAAACCAATGATTAGGTTCAGCAATTTTAAAGTCATTCGTCAGAAATTCAAATGACTTAGGCCTATGTGGTTTTCTCTTCAGTCAAAAAAGATTTAGAAGCATGTCCCCTACTAGGATAGACATTCGACTAGCATGGCAGGTGCACATCAAATGCTTGCTAATACGATGATAACCTTATGATGCATAATAACTTGTCACCTATATTCAGGGAATGCACTTAGAAATTCAAAATAATAATGACCTAAAAAAGGATCTTTGAACATTAATATGAAATATCATATGCTAAAGCTCATAGAATAGACCCTCACTGTCCCCAAATATCCAATCTATGTGCAATTCTAATGATTGGATATTTGGTTCCTAAACCACAACAACAAAGAGGAGCAAATTTGAAAAGGGAGGGCTCAGCTAGAGACCACCACACTTGTTGTGGGTTTAACAGTGTCCTGCCCACTCCCCAAATATATATTTACGTCCTAACCCTTTATATTTATGAAGGTGACCTTATTTGAAAATAGGTATATTCAGGGCACCTGGGTGGCTCAGTTGGTTAAGCGTCTGCCTTCGGCTCAGGTCATGATCCCAAGGTCCTGGGATCGAGTCCCACATCTGGCTCCCTGCTGGGCGGAGAGCCTACTTCTCCCTCTGCCTGCCACTCCCCCTGCTTGTGCTCTCCCTCTCTCTGTCAAATAAATAAATAAAATCTTTAAAAAAAAATAGGTATATTCAAATTAAGATGGGGTCACACTGGATTAGGGTGGATCCTAATCCAATGATTGGTGTCCTTAAGAGAGAAAGATTTAGAAACACATGGACAAAGAGGAAACAGGGCTATGTAAAGACAGAGGTAGGAATTAAGAGCTACATGATTATAAGCCAAGGAAGCCAAAGATTGCTGGTAACTACTATGAGTTAAGAGGCAAGGAATTTTCTTCCCTATAGCCTTCAAAGGAGCATGTCCCTATAGACACCTTATTTTGGACTTCTGGCTTCCAAAACTGTGAGAGAATAAATTTTTGTTGTTTTACATCACCCAGTTTGTGGTACTTTGTTACAGCAGTCCTAGGAAACTAGTAAAGACACCTGTCAGTACAGGTCGCCTGGGTGGCTCAGTCAGTTAAGCGTCTGCCTTCGGCTTAGGTCATGATCCCAGAGTCCTGGGATCAAGCCCTACATCAGGCTCCCTGCTCAGTGGGGAGCCTGTTTCTCCATCTGCCCCTCCCCACTCTCATGCTCTCTCTTTCTTAAATAAATAAAATCTTTAAAAAAAAAAAGACACCTGTCAGTAGAAATACCTTAAAGCTGTTAAAAGGGAAAAAAAAGAAAAAGAAAAAGAAAAACAGAAGAGAAAGAAAGAAAGACAAAAGATTGCAAAAAAACAAAAACGAGCAAACAGTACCTTTATTCTCAACAAGCTCTCTGGGTTTCAGGGCACTAAAGCCCAATACTGGTGTTTAAAATAAAATTGAAACATCAAGATGAAGATAAATATATTTAATATGCTACTTAAATTTAAGAAAGCAGTGTAGCAGTACACTGAGTTCATTACCAAGAGTTCTATACTAAATGGCTAAACTAAAAAAGCTTCGGTTATTTAGAACATGTAAAGAACAAAGTGACTGGATAGATACTGGTCAAGCCTTTCACTCTGCTGGGAAAATAGAGAGAGAAAAGCTAACTGCCCAAGGTCAGAGTCAGGCAAGAATCAAGATCTCCTATATATCTTAACCCACTGAAATCTAACACTCTAAAGGTATATACTCTCTGTGATAGTGTAAAATGAATCATTCTTGCCTAATATTAAAATTGAGGGGTGCCAGGTTGGCTCAGTCAGTGAAGCATGTGAATCTTGATCTTGGGGTAGGGGGTTCAAGCCCCATGTTGGGTGTAGAGATTAAAAATAAAATCTTTAAAAAAAATTGAATACGTGTATTGAAAGACCTAAAGTGAAAAGAACCATAATAATTACATTTAAGCAAGTCTAAAACTGTGGAAGCTACTCATCATAATGATAAAGGACAGCAATTAATAGGTGAATTATGATACACCTATCTTTGCCTATAGGATTGCTTTGGGAGGCAACTTTTGATCTATAACTACAATTCATTTACTTAAAGAATTTTACCTATATCTTGTCAAGAGAGTTCAGACTGCTGAAAAGAAGTGGCTTCTATTTTTAGAGTATTAGATGAGCATTTTTATCATGCATATCAAGAATAGGTATACAGAACTTGGCAAACACTTTATAGTATGCACGTGTTGAAATGATTTAACATAAAGGCAGTTAATGTATGTATTTTTAGTTCAGTAATTCATTTAGGGAATATTTAATTTTTAATGTGTTATATCAACTTAACAGTCTTAAAAGACTATACTGGACATAAACTGTCTAGCTTATTTAAAATATCCACTGTTTTGGATAAAATTTAAACAGTTTACAATGATAGAATACAGGAATGTAATCTGAATTCAAACTGTAATGATGCTATTGTCATCATTAATAACAAACTGAGGGCCAAGGAGATGAGTTAACACACACCCACAAAATTATATTGTAACGTTTTCCTTTTGTTCTTCCTTTTTGGATAAAAAAGGTGAATAATCATAGGAACAATATTTTAACTCAAACATTTCATCATTATGCTGAAAATGAAAGCATTTCCTAAAACCGAACCGAGCCCCAGGGTAAAATCTGCTTGGATTATGAGAAAATTTTTACCTGAATGAAAATTAAACTATTACAGAACCATTAATTACATTTATACTCATTGCTATTATCATTAGAAAGAAAACAAAAGACAAGAATCATGTTGAATTGTTTGGCTTAAAATCCTGCCAAAATTAATAATTTTGAGAAATGAAATGCTACAGAGAAGTGTAATTAAGAGAGCTGTAAAAATAATTTTACTAACACTTAAAGTCATCATCTTTGGTGAGGAAACTCCATATATATAAATGTGGCTGAAAAAAATCAGGTCAAAACCAACAGTCGTTTATCTATATATCTACATGTAGTTGGCTACTCCAGAAGGTTATCAAAGATTAGCCTTAAGAGTCTTTTGAGGGAAGCCAGGATCCAAATTGGGTGACACGGTGGCTTTCCACTCCTGTAAACAAAGAATAGGACTCATGAGGATGTACCCAATATACTTTCTGAAAATAATCCAACATATGCGAACATAAAGATCATATTGATTACCATCTCTTAAAACTGTTAGCAGAGTAGTAGGTTCTAAGCTTTGCTTTTTCTTAAACCTTTGCTAAAAACCAGCCATCTCTTCTCCCACAGGTATTTAGAAAGTTGATTGGTCCACTGCTGTTGTAAATCAGAATTCTACCATCATAAGGCTCACACTTCTTATAATCATGCTTTCTGTTTATTTTCTCCCAGCCCTAAAAGCAGCAGAGTCGTAAGCCAGCCCACTTTCCAAAAACAGACGCTGCCCAGGCCAGCTTTAATGACAGTGAACTGTTAACACCCGACTGTTTGTGACACTTTCTAAATTTTTATCAGGCAAGATTCGCAAATGAAATTTATATCACTGTCAGGCTATCTCTCACAGATCCAAGTTTCTCACATAATAGGCAGGCTAACCCACACTACTCTTTAGAACTACTTAATTAACATAGAGCCCAAGGGCAGGCTTGAAAGATAGGAGTCCTCATTGTTTTTTGTTTTTACTTTTTTCTCCGAAAGCAAATTTTGGACTGCTAACAGAGCTAAATAAAGAGACTATTTTATCAATGTTATAAAGAGAGAAAAAAAATCTTTAGCACCTATGTAACTTTCCTGGAGCAGGTTAGTGCTGGCTTTGTGCACAATAAGCAATGTGGTCCAGAATTTCTCTCACTTTTGTTTTGGATATATAAAGAGTAATAAATCATGAGGCGATTTCCAACTAATTCAGGGCTTTCCAGAGTAGCAGGGTTTGGCTGAGGTAGTGGCCAAAGGTATCTGTGTCACATAACACCATCATATTTCAAGTGTTCCGACTCCATATTATTAATCTTCCATATATTCTAGCTTCTGTAAGCTTCCCATAAGTTTTCTGAAGTCTGATAAAGATGGTATCAAACAGTATTTTTCAAATTAAAAGTACAAATTAAATGTAACGCCAGAGGTGTTGTGTTCCCTTGCTTTTCGTTTTTTTTTTAATTATGTTATGTTAATCACCATACATTACATCATTAGTTTTTGATGTTCCCCTTGCTTTTCATCACAGGTGAGGGATGGGAACAGTTTGTACTGGAATTTATCCACTGGCCACAACCACTGTTACTTTTCTAGGGCCTAGCAATCTCCATTGTTTCTGAAAGGGTCGTCTCTCTTGAGCAAGTGCATGACTTCCCTCTGTCTCCTGAATACAGTAGCGTGGTGGAGTAGGGGGTGAATCAGATGCCGTGTGGACGTATTAGACATGTAAGCAGTGTCCTTCTTTCTGCAGCAGATACTATCAGTCAAGTGATGCTCAAGTCATAATGGTCACTTCCTTTAAGTAAGTCTGTGTAACCTCGGAGCTGTGAAGCAAGCAAGTCATGACCCACACAGTGGGAGCACAACCCAGTCTAGAACTGCCCCTCAAATTCACAGGGAATCAGCAATCTCTAGAAACTTGTATTCAAATTGTGCAGCCATATGGTATCTACCCCGTGCCATCCCACCCCGCTTTATCTCCTCTCCGACCCGGACTTGGCGTTCACCGCACACCACCCGCCCTCTGGCCTTCCCCAGAGCCAGGCCTCTCTGTGCTCGAGGCGCTTTCCCTCGAACCCGCGGCGCAGGTGGTCCGACGGGTCCGTTTGGGTCTCACACCGGATCCCCGGGAAGCGGCCGGCTCGTGGGCTGCGGGCGGGAAAGAGGGCCAGAGGCCCGGTCCCCAGCCCCTGGTCTCCGTGCCGCCGCAGCCGGGAAGCCGGGGGCCTGGATGGAGGCAACTCTACTAGTCACCAGCTGGAAAACCCGATGCCGGGTTTCGGTCTGGGACGACAAGCCGAGCCCTGGGGAGAGCTGCTGCCACCGCCCCCGCCCTCGCGCGGTCCCTGTACCCCAACCCCAAACAGTCGCCGGCCCGCCGGCTTCTCACTCACCCTACTCGCCACCTCCTGCGACTCAGCCACCGCGGGCGCAGGGACCGCAACCGCAGCCCGGCCACCGCCCCGCCCCTGGGCCCGCCCCTGTCCCCACCCCACCCCTGGCCCCGCCCCCGATCCGGGGCCCTCGCGCGCGTCCCGACCGCGAACCCACTTCAGGCAGCGGTTGTTTCCCGCCTGGTGCTCTAATTCTGGGTGAATTTTACCTAATCTTTCGCCCATCACCTGCAACGAATACTATCAGAGTAACGGGAGGGGAGAAAAGGTGAGGAAAACAAAAGCATCCACTGCCTAAGCACACACCTCCTGCTCTCTCTGGACCCCGCCCCCGAAGGGAAGCAACCGGCAGCAGTGATGGTTGACGCGTCAAGCGCCATCTTTCACGTGGGCGGAAGGAGTTGCTGTGTAGTTTTCGTTTCCTCGTGCGACGCCGTAGGTTCGTTTTGGAGTTTTCGATTTGCGATTACGAGAACGCGCGAGGCCTGTGGAAGGGGGCGGGCCAAACTTGCTCCATCCCTTTGTTCTTTGATGTGCTTCGTGAAAATGTTGAGTAAGGTGTTAGTTAGCCGAGATAGTGCTGTTTTTAGTGGGGAAGGCTGCCCGCCGCGAGCAAGCCCAGTTGGTATTTGTGAATGGTTTTGTTTGTGCTTGGCAGGTAGTGGGCGCTCAACAAGTGTGTGTTGAATTAATGGATTTATTTTTTCCTAATGACACAATTAAGTGGGCTGACTCCACCCCAAGTCTGGTTAGGTAATTTCCTTTTTCAACAATACGTAGTCACCACAAGTTTGTCTTCTTCACATGTAAACATTTTCGTAAGCTTGATTTTCACACTTCCCAATGTCATGTTTGCTAGTTGCACAGTGTAGGTGGACGAATTGGGTTTTTAAGCCTTTGATAATGTACCATTGTATATGATGTGCTGTATGATTTATTTATTTATTTATTTATTTTTAAAGATTTATTTATTTATTTGAGAGAGCGAGAATGAGAGAGAGAGAGTACATGAGAGGGAGGAGGGTCAGAGGGAGAAGCAG